CCAGAAGTAACCCCTGTGCATTGCCGGTGTGACCCAAAAAGCAAATATATATATATATATATATATATATATATATATATATATATAATTATCACTATCACCCTGTCGTTCATCGATTTGCTGAAACGGGCAGTAACGTCTCCATTCTTCCCTCTCATGTGCTAGTGTAGCCCGATGGCATATCGGCGGTCTTTCAGGGTCAGGGGAATGAAGACCATCATTGTTACTATTTTTGTCATATCAAGTACGCCACAGGTAGCTTGCCAGGCTCTGCTGTGTGGGTGGGATACTCTCAGTAGCTTGCCAGGCTCTCTGAGAGGGATGGAGGTTTTGGGGGCAGCCTCTAATCACCTTTACAGGTGTTCCGTCAGGCATATATGCGGGCAGGAGACTCTCGATAGCCTCCTGGGTTCTCTGAGAGTGAGAACTAGACAATAAGTGGTCGCTTTAATATATATATCTATCTATATGTATATCTATATATATATAACAATGATAACCTTTTCTTAGCATTTATACAAAAACTGATTTCTTTTGTCTTATGCACGATACTAAATTTGCCAATAAAAGGTTTTCAGAAGTCGAGATACCTTTTTAATTAAGTTCCATAAGACAAGCAGAAGTATGTAAAGAAATGACATGAGTTACAATAGTTATATTAGACCATGATATGTAGAGAAAAAGGTGAGATAGTATAATTAAAAGACATATAGAATTTTATGAATTCCCATATACTCAAGAAAAAAGACACAATTTTTCATACTTTTCAAAATCAATTCATATAAAAACTTCCTGAGTGACAAGAAACCTGCAATATGTCAAAACATGTATTTTATTCAACAGATTCAAAATGAACTGGAGCATCCCTGAATATACGTAATGCATAATAGTTGATACATAAAGTTTATCACAGAGGGTATAGTGTGTAGAATGATGCCTTGCATTGGGGGTTCTTAATGAATCTAAATGAATTAAATAACATGTTGAAAATCAATTAATATATCATTACAGCTTTTCTTGTCAAATAAGGTACGGAATATATTGGAAACAAAAGGCAACCCATAGAAACAGGGTTTGGAACAGAAACTGGTATCTATATATTTGTAGCTGAGGATGAAACAAATCAAGTTCAAATCTGAGCTCCAATATTCTATAAGTCTGGAATTTTTCCATCACATTCAAAAATGAGTAAAAAAGTGTAAAATCTACAAATATTAGCAGATTTATAACGTTCTCCAGTAGCAGGGATATCATCAGTTTCTATGGATTCCCAAATTAAGTACTTAAGTTATAAAGAAAACATGCCAGGAGACAGGAAGTCCACATTTTAATACTGACTCACTGTATAATATCAGAATTAATGGTCATTCTGCTAGAAGTCCATAATTAGTAGAACAGACACAGCAAGCTTATGTAAGAATAAAAATTCTGACCAACTAACAAAATATAATGAACAACTGACTGATTTTCAAGTTTCTGAAAACAAACTCAGAATTTATATTAAAAGTGTCAAATACATGCTAAAATATTTATAATATACATATGTATATTATATGTAATATATATGCAAACACTTCATGTAAAAAGTTTTTAAATATATAGTAAAAGAAAGTAAATCGTGTAAGTCAATTTCATAACAACCATATAACTGAATATCTATAGTTAATAAATAATTGCAAACACAATGGTGATTTAGAAATCTTAGGAAAAGAAATAAAAATTTATAGGCAATAAATCTTATATATTATTTAACTGTACAGCTTATTTGGAAAATTCTGAAGCATTAATAAAATATATGCAGATTATTCAATGAATTAGAGCTCTAAAGATAAGATGTTACATGTAATGGAAGTCATAACAGGTAGAAAGACCTTTTTCTTTGCAAAACACTGCAAAATTAATATTTGTATGTTTATTATTGAAATTGTCAAAACGAATGCATCTCAAAACTCAAGACTAGGGACAAAATTAACTACAAGTTGATTAGGTATTTTTATTGTACCTGTAACATAACATAATCTAAGGGGAAAAACTGCACATTTTGATAATCTTAGTATAAGTGACAGAATTACATTCTGGATTTCTGATTAGCAATCAGTCAATGACACTGACATATAAGTTTTATTCTAGATTTATTTTTGTGCTTTAAGTAACTACTAATTCTTGAAAAGTACTGTATAAACAGTTGTACAGCTATATTAAATTAGTATAATAAATATCCTAAAGTTCATTAAACAATTTTAATGTGTCTTTTCAAAGTATCCAGAAGTTTTGTAAGTTATCTACTAATAAACTGGACTTTCTTTAGAAAACTTAAAGTAGCTTTTTCCTCAATGATTTTGTTTTCAACTATACTTTCTTAAAATAATAAAAGGACATCTACAATTCTGTGAGAATACTTTTAAGTAAAAACACATTGCAAAATATAAACATATGATTTTTATATAGAAAATTGAAAATATGTCAAAATCAAAGACAAGAAAGTAGAAAAGATCTTGCAAACAATACTTCAAAAGCATTGTGCTTAAAATGTCATCTATATACTTTTATTTGAATGTTAAAAATGCAACCTATCTATGTTTAATAATAATAGTGCCTTATTAAAGCTGGTACTTATGAGAAGTTTCAAGTTCAGTGTTCTGTTTTTAAAAACCTAAAACTAAAATGTTCTAGTTTACATATTAATTAAGCAGTACAGTAATCTTCATAGCATACTATGTACTATAAATAATGGAATGGATGTGGGGAGGATAGATGTAGTTATTTCATCTAAATATCCTTTCATGAATGAATGTAGACCTTCATCTGTTATGCTCTATTAGAGCAAAAATTTCATTCTCTTTAAACTATTAAAGACATAGGTAAAACAAGCATAAAACGTGTACAGTAATGATTTCCTATAAGTTGGATCATATAAATATCTACATGCTTTCAGTTGGTGAAATTATCTTATTCAAGTGATAGAAACTTGAGAACTTTATAAACAAACTGGAAATACTTGTAAGATGCTAAAGTTTTTACGTCTCATTTACTACAACTAAAACAATAGAAGCTATATCAATGTCTTTTTATTTCTGTAGCTTTCAATATTTGACTAAGTTTAATTTTAGTTATCAGATTTAACTAGCTACTGCATCATGCATTTCACTCCCCAGGTTATTCCTGAAAATCTAGATCTAATTTATGATTTGTTGATGTGAATGGTCAAATCCAGAACAAACAAGTCAGGCATAAAGCAAGTTCAAGCATTGTTAGAAACCTACCTTTGAATTAAGAATCAAGATCACAGAATTTTAACAAGTGGAAGTTAAGCATATAAATCATTTTATATACACTCTAGTGAATGTATCAATTAAAATATTAAGTATGTGTATATTAACGTGTTCAGTACATTTGCCTTTCTCCATAAGTGTGAAAATTTAAAAACAAATGCGTATGTTTTTCAAAATGAAAGCTTTTTTATTTCCCCACCCCAGTATTAACTTTCCCACGCCGTTGAATTCCCTGAGTAAAATCAGAACAATTTCAGTAATCCCTTCAGCCTGCGCCTAATACTGTTTAGTACTCCACTAAGAAAGACTGTAGAGTGGTATTTTCACTTCCTTTTGTTCAACAAGCAGGTAATCCAGAACTGCCTTAAAAGCAAAAAAGTAGCCTGTTTCTTTGAGTCTTAAAAGCTGGGAGGTAGGGTCCCACAGAATGAGAGGTGGGGCATTTAAAAAAAAAACAACAAAGGAATAGTATCAATGTAAGAATTCACTAAAATTCCAGATGAGAATCTTGAGTCTTTGAAAACACACATCATAGCATGACACATTCTAAGACAGAGAAAAGTAGACTGAAAGTACTGCTTTTACATTTGTACCGATGGAGTCTGCTTTAAACTTCTACTGGACACAGCCAAGCTAAGTAATCACTTTGCAAATAAAAGGGGTGGGGGAGTGTGGAGAGACTGCTTGCTAATGGACCAGACTATAGTATAGTATGGTACTTCTGTACTCCTTCCCCCTACTCTCTCTGCAGTACTTAGCCTAAAAAGCTTCCCCTCTGCTTCCCTTTATTTTATTTTGTTTTTCTTTACTGAAGGCTACACCTCTGGGAAGTCACCAGCCCTGGAGAAACAGTTCTTTCAGGAGGTTTTGTTGCTGGGAAGGGGTGGGTGGGAGGGAGGAGTATGGAAGGGAGGCAGAGGGCGGGGAGAGAGTAGGAGCTATCACCCTGCATTATCTCCTAGCTCAGCACATCAGCTACCAACCCGGAGTGCTCTCCCTACTTCCAGCCACAAGACAAAGCGCTGTGGTCCACTGAGACCTTTCCGTGGCTGCCTGGATTTGGTTGTGCCTAGCATGTTTCCCAGATATGCGTTTCCCAGATCGTGTCCCCTGAGCGCATCCCTCACTCTGATCACCACCCTCAGTTGAGCGAGAGCCTGAAAGTTGAGAGCAGGCGGTTCTGGACCCCCAAGCGGTGCACTGCCAAATCACCACTCAAGAACTTTGCTGCTAACCCTCCAGAAGCTGGCTGACTCCTCCTGCGACCACCACTCCAGCAGCCACCAACCACCTGGCTTTCTGCCACCGCATCCCTATTCACCTTCGGCCTCCTGGGCAGAAGAAACATATGATGGGGAGAGGGAAGGGAAGGGAGGAGGTGTCACGGGAGGTCCAGGTGCTCCTCTTTCCTAAAAGGAGATCCCGTGAGCACAACGTGCTTCCATGGACAGACAGTGTTTTCCTCCAGCATAAGGGAGCAGGGTGGTTGCAAGTCCGGAGCACTGGAGAAGTGTCAGTGGAAGAAGCCACAGCTTGCAGCTCCCCTGTCCTCCGTGATCCGGCCTTTTTCTCACCTTACTCTCCCCTCTCCCCTCTAGCCCCCCGACCCCCCACCCCTGCACGCAGGATAGATCGATCCATCTATTCTGCAGTCAATTCAATCGCCAGGTCTCCAAGTCACCTTACAGTAACCTTAATGCAGAGAGAGCGAGAGCGCGAGCGCATTACCAGAGTTCTGTTCCCGTTCTTGCTCAGAGGGCCCCGGAAAACTCCCTTGACGTTGCGAAAGTGTCCGTTGCTGAGATGCGCGGAGCTGATGACAATGTAGTAACACTCCATGGGGCGGCCGCCAGCTCCCGCGCCGCACGCAGCCCGCGCTCCTCCCGCAGGCACCCGCGCCCGCCGCAGCGCCGGAGCCCGGGCCGGGCCGGCGGGGAGCCGCGGGCGGGACCAGCCGCCGCCTCTCTCGGCAGCCCGCGGGGAGACGCTCGCCGTGCGCCTCGGCCGAGCGCGCCCCGGCCCCGCCGGCCCCGCACCGAGCGGGGTGGGGCGCCCGGAGCCGCGGGCGGTCGGTGGGCGCCCGGGCCGCGTCCGCGCTCGCTCGCAGTGGCCGAGGCGGCGGGCGCGCGTGTTCTTATAGCGAGCGGCGCGCGCGGGCCGCCGCGTCGAGCCAATCGCAGGCGGCGGCCGGCCGATCCCGCGGGCCGGCAGAGGGGCGCAGCTGCCGCCCTCCCGCCCGGCCGCCGGGACCACCGGCCCCCGCGCCAGGCGGGACGCGCCGCCCGCGAGACGCCCCCCGCGCCGCGCCCCGGCGCCCAGGACCCCGGAGTCGCGCGGACTCCAGCCAGCGGAGGGGAGGGTGGAGCAGGGAGGGGGGCGGTGGAAAGACTGGGGGCTTCGGGTGACCTGGCAGCGGGGGATGGGGGCGGGATCGAGCGGCCAGGGGTGGGCGTGAATCAATGCGTAGCTCGAACCCGAACCCGCCGCGCCCAGAGCCGCCGAGCCGGGCGGGAACACGCGGTCGCTTCCCCTTCCCCAGCTAGGGAGTTATCGGTGCCCGCTGGGGGTCCGGCTGCTTTCGCGTCATTGGCTCTGCGCGCATTCCTGGCAGGGAGCTTGGATGCTGCTCCGGAGCTGAGAGCAAGACCAGGAGATGTCAGGGTCCTCCCTCCCCCTCCTTCCCCCCCCCCCTCCCCCGGTCCATCCACCGCCGCCTCCTGTTTTCAGGGCTGATGAGGACCGGTGTGGACCCTCTGGGGGGTGGGGAGGGGGGTGGCGAGGAGTGCGACGGGGTTAAAATGGGGACTCCACCTGCCTGCTCTTCATCCATACACCCCCCCCCCCCCCCCCCCCACACACACACACACACACACTCTGGAGAAGCCCAGTTCTTCGTAAATTGCCAAAGCTGAACCGGCTGGGCTGCTGCTTTGCTGCAAAGAAGCAGCTGCCAAGTGCTGGTTTGCTTTTTTTCTCTCTCTCTCTTTCCTCTCTCGAGTTATGTTCCCATGGCATGAGCAGGAGCGAACAAAAGCGTTTGCCCTGCATGCAGCCAGAGATGGAAAATGTCCTGCAAAAGAACGAATGGGTCACTAAGGAAAGTGGGGAGGGGGGTCTAGCGCTGTGCTCCCTGAAGCCTGACACCAGCGCTGTGCGTTCAGGGACCAGGGCAGCCGGAGGCTTTCACCGTCCTCCCTCTCTCCAAGTTGGTTGTCTCCGAATTTCACTCCTCGGAGGTGGTGGGTGGGAGCATCCCATCAGGTATAAACACGACTCATTAGTCCGCACTCAGAAAGATCGATCCCAGTCTGTGGGTGGCTGGGAGATGGGGCCTTCAGTGGGTTTGCTGAGGGCTTTCTTTGCCTCTTGCCTTGAATAGCTTAATTGGTTAAGGCAGATTCCAGACATCCTGATGCTTCTGTGTCAGAGCAAGCCACACTGTGATGTGAACTGGAGTTTATCCTATTTACCTGAAGGTCAAGGTTTCAAGCCTCCTGGAAGTTGCCGGTATAGGATTTTATATAGCAAGCAATGAAAAACACAATATGATCCTTAAATGAATCTGCCAGCTTGATAGCACCCTTTGGAAGAGAAAGAGAAGAGAGGAGTGTGTGTGAGAAAAACAATTGGCATGTGAGTAAATTACAGGGGTTGAACTGATAGCGAGGAGTTCCTTTCATCTAAGGGAAATTCACATGTGCCAAGCTGCAATTCAAATAAAGAACAAAAAAGTTGGTGTGGCTTTATCAAAGCTCATTATGAAATGTCAGAGTTATTTAGAGGCTCTTGGCAAAATTTCTCAGATATCCACTTGGGGGAGTCTGGAAGTCTTAGGAGAAAGGGAACAAGAATTTGCAAAACTTCTATGTTCCAAACAGACATAATACTTTGTTAGAATTTAGTATGGACAAATCTATAAGAAAACATGTTTCGCTAGCATGCTAAATATTGTACAAAATAAAATTGATCTTTGGTTCACATAGCAGAGTTAATTTTCATGTATATTTTGAGGATGCAGCCATTCTCCAGACATATCAATTTGGAAAGAACTTGTAATCGGTATAATTTGCATTATGTCCTTTGAAGATGGGTAAGATTGCAGTTATTAGACTAGACATGAAACCTTTATTACTGAACAAAGCCAAGGAATAATCTAAGAAAATGGAATGTGCCCTATAAATGAAAAGATCAAATAATGTGATTTTATTTTTGTACATGTGCAAGACATAATATTCAAACCTTGGGGGAGTTGCCATATTCTTCTCATCAAATATTTCTGTCAAAATACTTAGATCTTTAAATCTTTATCTATGTCTTGAAACTCAATTTCCAATTCTGGACACAGTAACCAAAGGTATATAAATTGACCCATGGTACATAATTGATGTATGTAACCTTTGAAAGATATAATACAGTTGCTACTAATGCATAAAAGTTTGACTGTATAAACTATTCATTAGATGTACGACACTCATTATGTTTACCAGGCTATGTTGAGTGTGGCTTTTGTTTTATCCTATGAACCTTAATGTTCAGGGAAACTACAGGCCACAATCATATGCAATCTAGTTTCTAACTACAGTGAATTGCTACTAGATATAAGGGATTATTATGATAATTGTATTATGTCTAGTAATATGGAATTTTCAGCAAATGAAATAACTTTTAAAGTTAAAATTTGCTAAATATTTAGAGACATATAAGTGAGAAATAAGGCCTTCCCTTATCATTTCAAAGACGCATATTTTTGAGGGTGGGTCAATAAATTAAAATAAGAGGTGATAAATTACATTTCTCTTCAACTTGTTGCTCTCATTTCTTCTATCATTGTGCAAAGAAAGTATGTAAATAAATCAGTCATTAAATTTATATTGTGTCATGGTTTCAACTATCCATGACTTAGTCTTATTATTTAGAGCAAATCTGATTTTTGTTATTAGTAACTATTTTGAAAACAATTGTTCTCTGTACTGATGCTACTCCAATTTTTAAAAATATTTTTCCAGTTGGAGAAGTCATGCATTAGATTAAATATTGATTACTTTAAATATTTAGAATCAATGTTTCTTAATCAGAAAATATTTTCAAGTATAGAATAACTATAGAGAACTTTTATTTAATTGTCACCTATCTAGTTAGCACTTCGATCACGATCAGGATCATCCTGTTGTTCATCAATTGCCTCGAGCAGGCACCAGTAACATCTATTTCATCCTAGCCCTGAGATTTTAAAAAGTTCCATATTCAAGGCTCTTTCAGAGTTAGGAGAATGAGACCTGTCATTGTTACTGGTGTTTGGCATATTGGGTATGCCACAGGGAGCTTGCCAGATTCTGCCGTGTGGGCAGGCCACATTCAGTAGCCTGCCAGGTTCTCCAGAGTAAGAACTAGGTAATAAGATGTCTGGCAGCTGGGTTTTATAGTCTCTGGGTCTTGGCCGTTGATGGGACTACACGGCGCCAGGGGGCCAGTTGGTGGATGTGACCCCTGCCTACTGGAAGATGGAGGATCTGGGTGGAGGATGCTCAGCCCCGATCCGAGTAGGCTTGGAGATCTCGGCCCCGGGACCCACATGCCTTTGTTCCTCTGCAGGTACCTTCATGCATGTGGAGAGTAGTCTTAGCATGGTTAGCACTTAATTGGTTTAATAAAAAACTTTAAGACAAAAACTGTTGTTACACAGATGGAAGGTCCTACGTTTGATCATATGCATAAAAAACATTTATATAAATGATATTGGTGTTTTAAGATTTGCAATTTTTTCCAAATTATCCCAAAGCTGAATTTTTGGACTATCTGTAATGTCATTCCCTCCTTCATGTAGCCTCCTACAATTCCAAAAATCAAGATTTCCCCTGCAGTTGCTTGTACTAACTTACCTCTCTTTCCATTGTTCTTCATTTATTTGACATCAGAACAGTAGGTTTTTGCTGGCAATAGAGCATAGGCACCTGGCTTGCTCCTGACTGACACAAGATTTCAGAGCAATGCAGATTCCCTGCAATATAACATAAACATCATGTCCCATTTCAAAAATGAATAGCAGGACGCTGCACCTTGAATCCTGACCTGATTGACCATCAGCACTTCCAGAGGAACATGATGGTTCCCTGCATTTGCCTATTGCTTTTTGAGAAGAGACAGTAGGCTGTTCATCTCTATGTCTGGCCTTTGTGCTTCTTATCACGAAAATCTGAATGTGTTTATTCTTTAACAGCAATTTCTCACCACTAAAGTGAATGATTTACAATTTTGGTGAACTTCCATGTTTCTGCACATCAGCCCTGATCCTTAATACAATGATCAGTTGTAACTAGGCTCTGTAGTTTACACTCCTTTTGTTTGTATTGAGAGCTGTGATGACATTGGTTTTGAGTAAATGCAAAAGCATTTAGGACTTGTTTGTTCCATGACCAATGTAGACTTTATGCTGATATTCTGCATGAATGATGGCCTGGCAGAGCTAAATTGTGTAATAGTGGTGGAAGATGTATGTGACCTTAGAATACCCATGTTTGTGAAATCTTCTCCTAACTATAACCCCGAGGTCAGGATAGTTCTCAGAGCAAAAACAGCTTTGGTTTTAAAATATAAACGAACAGCAAAAATGCACCCTGGGAAGAAAAAAAATTTTTTAAAATAAAATTATTCAGCCGTTTAAGGATTTAGAGGGAAATGGGCAAAAATAAAATAGAACTCACTTTCTTTAAGGGTGACTGCTCTTTCGCTATGTATCCCACTCTCTGCTCTTAATGTACACACCGAATGTTGATATGCTTACTAATTATTTAAAATGTCTCTGGCAGATTAAACAATAACTCAGGTGCTGGAGACTAGGGTGGGGAGCAATATTGTCTCTAATAAATGGCCAG